TTTAAGTCCAAGTTCAAAGTGCCAGGCTCTAGGGGCTGGGTGAAAGCCTCTCAACCTTGGGGTCCAGCTCTGCCTCCTGACCCTGGCTCACTGGAGCTAGAGGCATTTCTTCACTCAGACAGCTGCTGGCTGCTGAGGCTGAGAAGCCCCAAGGTTGACAAGTAAAAAGTCACAGTCCCGATGTTACCAGACCACACGGCAGGCCATTAACTTAAGTCCATTGTAAGCCCCAAGGTCAGCAGAGCATAGCAAGCTGCTGAGCAACCACACGGCTACATGCAGGGTCCAAGGGTGCCATAGGCTAGCTACTATCCCCAAGGCTTCTCCTTATTTACAGGAAGCAGACCATATCCCAAAGGCAGCTACTCAGCTGCTTGTGGTAGATCCCACCATGGAGTTGATTGCTAGTCTCATCATGGGGAAATAACTACTACCAGCTGCCCAGTCACTCAACCAGGCCCAGCCAAGTTGACACACAAATATAACTAGAAGTAGATTGCCCAACCTTCCTTCCAGGGAGTGGGTGTGTATGTATATTTATATGCGTATATATTTATTTGTAAGCGTACATATATATTCATACACACACACACACACAAAATAAACCACACGGGGGCACAGTTACCAATACTTAGACATAATCAGACATCTTGCAGGATTGGTTTTTTGGGCTTGAAGGCTGAAGACCATAGTCTCATGGGCAGCATGTTCACTTGGCATAAAATAATTCGTAAAGTTTATGTTCTACAACCTAGTCTGATGAGTAGTGTCGGGGTCTTAAAAGTTTGTGAGCAGTCATCTAAGATACAACTGTTGGTCTCTACTTGTCTGGAACAAAAAAGATAGAAGGAAATCCAAGGATGTTACATAAATTTGCCCTCACTCTGAAACAACTGAGCCAACCCCTATTTGCAACAAGTTCTTCATCACAATCACCTTCACTTGCTGCCTGTGCAACTTTTAAATCATTGAGATGCTGCCAGCCTTTTTTGCATTACAGTAAGGCTGAATAAGAACCTTATGTCTGTTTAGACTTACCTAAAATCCTTAAAGACACAGTTAGGAACAGTCTCATTTGTAATGCACGGATTGCCTGTGTCCCTTGAGGTAACCTTTTAGATAAATAACAGATTGATTCACAAAATAAAGAGTATCACTGTGAGTACTACACTCACTTAACTCTTTCAAGCCCAAATTATTTTCTGCATTGAATTGTTTTAGTGGAACTCCTATGTCCTGAGGGATCTCTGATGCTGGAATTGGTAGGATGAGGCACGTTTCTTCAGATTCATATAGTTATACCAGCTCATACTAGATGACAGTACACACTAGAAGTGGGATAATGGCTCCCCACTAAGCCCCAGAAACAGAAAATACAGGTGGGCATTATATGTCCCATGGGTCATTAAAGGCTTAAAAATAATCTATATGGGACCAAATGATCAACAATTACTTTATAAAGAAAGGTGAAAAGGTAAGGGGGAGTGGGCAGGGAAATGAGATTATTAGACACAGGAAAACCAGACAGTGAGAATGTTCATGCATTGTGAAAATAAAATCAATGTCACTGAAAAATTTATGTAAAAATTGTTGAATGGTAACCTAATCTACTGTGTAAACTTTCACTGAAAGCACAGTAAAATATTACTTTAAAATAATTTTTAAAAAATAAAGAAAAAAAGGAAATGGTGCTGAGAGGGTGATGGCTTCATGATTTGTTCTAGTGATGGGATTTGGAAGGTGTGGGTGTGTCAGTATGTGATCCATGTCTAGGAAGTACCATTGATCAACTGGGAACACCATTTGACTGCTTAGTCATGGAAACCTGGTCATTAAGCACATGAGGATTTATCTTTCTCATAGAAAATTCAGAGCTAATGGGGGCACTGGCACTGGCTTAGTGGCTCAAGCATATCAGAGCTGAGGTCTCCGTGATTCCCAAGGCCTTTCCCTCATGGTCTCAAGATAACTGCCACAAAGGAAGCCATCATAAGCATCTTCCAAGGAAGATGAGAAGAGGGATAATAGAGTGCATCTTCCAGCTAGGTTAGTTCCTTTTGAAGTGTGTACCCATCAACTCCTTACTTCCTTGGCCATCCTTATGAGTAAAGGAGGCTGGAAAATGAAGCTTTCTTTGATAGTTTTGTTGAAGTCTCAGCCCACTGTCATCCCAATAACAGAGGGACTGTGTAAGTAAGGGAGAGAGAGAGAATGGAGACTGGGAATGCAAGTGATAGGTGCTGCCACAAGCATACAGTCTCCGAATCAAGAAAGTTCCCCTTTTTTTGCATACCTTTTTGTTGGTTCCGCACAGGCCATTGGAAATGCTAAAACCACTCGCAATGACAACAGCAGTCGCTTTGGAAAGTACATTCAGATTGGCTTTGACAGAAGGTACCACATCATTGGGGCCAACATGAGGACCTACCTGTTGGAAAAGTCCAGAGTGGTCTTTCAGGTGAGTGGTATTGGGCCTTTTGTAGGTTTTCCCTTGGACAGTGGCCTCACTTGCTCTCTGCCCTACTCCCTATGCCCTAAGAGCATCTCATCTTTTGAGCCTGGAATAGGATGTACTTGTTCTTTGGGTTTTCTTTCTTTTCTTTCATCAGTATGAGTATTCATTTGAATGGTACTGGCATTTGGACCACAAAAAGATTTTATCCAGCATTGTTATCTTTAAGTGGAATATTCTTTTTAGGTATAATCAACAGACATATATTGTGCTGGGAAGGAGTTCTGGTGGTATAGTGGTTAAAGCATTTGGCTGCTAACCTAAGGTTGGTGGTTTGAACCCACCAGCTGCTCTGCAGGAGAAAGATGCTTTCATAAAGATTTGCAGCCTTGGAAGCCCTATGGGGCAGTTCTACTCTGTCCTATTTGTTGTTGTTGTTATGTGCCGTTGAGTCAGACCCGACTCATAGCGACCCCTCCTTGGGTTGCTATAGGCTTGCTATTTGTCAGAATCAACTCAATGTGCTGGCCGTGTTCTGTACACCAAAGATGTAGTAAAAGAATAGGCAGTCCTTTTCCTCGTGGAGTTTGAAGTCTTAGGAGAATGTCATAATTAACAGGGTCTGCAGGTTTCAACTTTTGCCAGGAGCCTTTCTTGGGTAGGTTATTAAAATATATATGTGTCTCCAGAGTCTGGCTCCCTGTTGGCCTCCCATCACTGAACTGAGATGATGGCTCTGTCTGGTTTGAGCCTGCCCCACACATTCTTCCCTTGGGTACAAAGGCTTTTCGAGCCTCACAGTTCGCTGCCTTCAGAGGCAATAACAGAATCGAGGCAGCTGTTTGTTTCTCCATGCCACCTGTCTCTACGCTGATGCTTAGCAAATGTCTAAGGACATTTTTAGCCACATATATTACTTTTTTCCTTTTTTGCCTGGGCTTTCTCTCCTCTTCCACAGATTTCGTGTGCTGTGCTGGGTGCAGTTCTGGTGGTCTAGTCCAATCTTCCTGAGACCGAGTAAAGTCAAAACTCAGCTTTTTCCCCCACCTTAGTTAGGACAGATGGTTAGGACATCTAGGACCCTGGTTGGAAATAAATAAGTAAACATAATTGCTCTGAACCACCAGCCTTCTGGTTAGCAGTCAAATGCCATAGGCACTATGCCACCAGACCTCCTTTTTTGTTGTTTTAATTGAACCTCTGGCCAGACTCTTCTCTGAGCAACCCCTTGAGCTTTCCTCTTCTGTGTCCTCTGGGGTCAGTTCTCCTGGGCACCTCCCCACCTCCAACCACTCAGCAAGCAATTTTAAGGCATGTCTAACTATAAGTGCCCATTATAAGGCCTATCTCTGTCCTGAACCTTTGCCTACTGTTCCAGCATGACTTGATGGGCCAGGGGGTGTAGGCTTGGTTCCAAGCCTTCCAGAGGAGAAAAGGGACTTACAGCAGAGTAATTACAGACTGTGGAACAATAGCCAAAAAAACAAAAACCAAACTCATTGCCATTGAGTCGATTCTGACTCATAGTGACCCCCTTTGGGTTTCTGAGGCAGTAAATCTTTATTGGAAGTAGATTGTCCAGTCTTCCTTCCATGGAGAGTAGCTGGTGGGTTTGAACCACCAACCTTCTGGTTAGCAGTCAAATGCCTTAGGCACTATGCCACCAGAGATCCTTGTGACAATAGCCAAGCAGCAAGAAAATTTGCATGAATGCTTGTTGATTGACTGACCCACCATTTATGGAGCAGCAGTAATGATCTATCTCCCACTGCCATTGAGTCAATTCTGACTCATAGCCACCCTATGGGACAGGGTAGAACTAACTGCCTTCTAGGGTTTCCAAGGCTGTAAATCTTTGCTAAAGCAGACTGGCTTATCTTTCTCCTGGGAAGCATCTAGTGAGTTTGAACTACTAACCTTTTGGTTAGAAGGCAAATGCCTTGACCACTGTGCTACCAGAGCTCCTGATAGTCTATCTAGAAGGAAAAATGAAATACCTTGTTTGCATAAGTCTATTTCAAGAGGTAAAAGTCCTCAGGTTGGAAGAAGGACCCATAATAAGAAGTAACAAACCTGGGAGAGGGAGTTCACAAGGTGGTTAGATGGGTGGAGGACAATTCCAGGAACAGCAGTGGGCTCATGCCCGTGAAGCACCTTAGGAGTAGGATGGGGAGGCGACTGTCTTTGAGGGTCCTTGCCTAAAACGGCTTCGGCTTCCCTTTTGTCCTCCTTCAGGCAGATGACGAGAGGAATTACCACATCTTTTACCAGCTCTGTGCTGCCGCCAGTCTTCCGGAATTCAAGGAGCTCGCTCTAAGTGAGTAGTGAGCGGGTATCTGCCCGGCCTCTCAGTGGGCTGTTGCAGTGGGTGGTACAGGTGAGGCTCTGATCAAAGCCCTTCGTCATGGGTTTTTGTCTCAGCTCCTGCTCAAGCCTGGACACATCTCCTAGACCTCTCTGAGCAGGGCTAATGATGCCCAGGCTGCCTGCCACAGAACAGGCTTCAGAGGATAAGTGGTAGGGGATAGAAGTGTGAAGTGCAGAGTATAGAAGACTTTCCATGCATTGTTATTTCAAAAGACAGTTTCTCCTTTAGGGATCATAAGAAATGCGTTCTAACCATGAGGATCTAGAGATTAATCTAATGCACATCATTTAATTATGACCAACTTGTTTTGGGTCTTAGTTAAGGGTTGGTTGTTGCAGCCAGAATGCTCCTTGGAAACAAGAATGGCCAGACTTCGTCTCACCTATTTTGGTCCTATTGTAAAAAGGGACCATTCCTTGGAGAAGGATGTCATGCTTGGTAGGGTGGAGGGTCGACGAAAGAGGGGGAGACCTTCAACGAGATGGATTGACACAGTGGCTGCAATGATGGGCTCAAGTATAGCAGGGATTGTGGGGCTGGCGTGGGATCGGGCAGTGTTTCGTTCTGCTGTGCATGGGGTCGCTATGAGTCGGAAACGACTCGACAGCACTTAACAACAACAACAGTGAGAAAGAGGGAAAGGGTAGAGAGAGTGCAAAGATAATGCAGGAGTGGCCAGAGAGACCTGTGGGTAAACAGGAGCATTGCCACAGAACATGGAGGGGCGCTTAGAATAGTGAGATGTGGACTGCTGAACAGTGGCCAGCTGCCAGTACTATTTCATCTTGCCTGAGCAGGCGTGGAAGCTGACGGCACACCTATACTTGAGCACTGGAGGGAGGGGAATGGAGCAACCAAAAGGGTCTCTCAACTTGGGCCACCAGGATAAATCACCTTGTTGTTCACAGCAGATAGAAAGGCAGCTGTTCAGTAGGTCAGCATCCCTCTTTATTTCTTACAATGCCCTTTGCTTAGTTTACCTTGAGGCTGTTGACATGGGGCCAGTGGAGATGAGAACAAGGCTAAGCAAGTATTGCAAGCAGGTGTTCCTTCCTAACACCGTACTGATAGAGCATTTCATCTGGAGCCTTTCCCCCTTCTGTATGAGGGGGATGCTCATGGGGCATTGATGACACTTGCTGCTGGGTCCTCAAAGCCGGCTGTATCCCAGGTGTGTGGTGAGGACAACCCTGGAAGCTGAGCATCCTGTCCCTGGTTGCTAGAATGGAAGAGCTGGCTGTCTAGAATATGGCTGGTCTTTGTGTGACTGTGAGAAAAACAGCTGTTGAAGCTTTGCTCTCCCTCACCCAAGTCCTAGCCATCTGAAGACCCGGTCCCACACCCTCCTCTGACCATGCCAGCCTGTGTTCTCAGGGCTTAAATACACAAGTGGTTCAAACACAGGGCTGCCCTCTCTGCTCTCAGCTTCATGAATGTCTATAGCACTTAGTGTCTGCACCATGCAGTTTAGTGTTTATTCCTTCCTCTAAGGTATGAGCTCTGGTAGCATAGTGCCTAAGGCACTTGACTGCTCACCAGAAGGCTGGTGGTTCAAACCC